TTGGTTATTATAAACTATATGGGCAATGAATGTTAGTTTATTTCAACTTATGCAAATGAAATTCAAATTTAAAGAATTTTGAAAAAAATTGTCTGCTTAATAAATATGTATGTATAAATGTTAATTTTTCAACTCATTCAAGCCAACTCAATATCAAAATAACAATCATATACCGTTTTAATATATGTGGGGAAAGCATAAATTGCATAAAAACCCCTTTTGGTAAATTCACGGTGAATTCATCGAAAATTCGAAAATTAATTGGCTTCTCAATTGACAACTTTCAATTAAATTAAAGTAGGTCGAATTAAGTTTTTCACTCTGAGTTTATGTCAATTATGCGCACTGAGCAACATCAATTATCGCAAAGCTAACAAAATTCCAATATTTGACTTTTTCAATTGTTGTTTTTGTTTTTGCTACAATTGGCTTTTAATTAAGTTCGATGCTTTGTAAAGTGCAGTGACCCTCCCGACCTTTCTTCCAACTCGCTGCCGTTGACAAAAATTGAAATAACATTTAGTTAAGTACTGAAGACGGCCATTTAACCTAAAACCTAGGAATTTATTTTATTTGAGCATTGGGTGGCGTTTATAAAGCAAATGCTTCAGTGTTTTATATAAGAAATATTTAATGGTGGTGTATTTTTTAAAGCAAGTTGCTTGTGAGACCCCATCCTGTTTTCTTTTTTTCATTAAGGTGTTTTTACTTGACAGTCCACAAACCCAGCGCACAACCCTGTGGCGAGGATTTTTCGCCTTCTTACTTTAGCTCGCCTTTACAGGGATGTTTTTTGGCTACCCAAGTGATACTTGGTCTAAGATCGGAAGTCGTGAGCTGCTTGAGCCATTGGTAAAAGAATAATTTCTGCCCACTCCCAAGGGAATGGTGCTCCGAGTACTTTCCTTACTTGCATATATATATATTTAATACTGAAACATTTTTTGGAGATTGTGGCGTTATTTTTGGCCATTAATTTGATTTTCTTTCGGTCAGTTTGCATGGCAGCTATATCTCATAGTATTCCGATGTAGACGATTCCGAAAAAAATAGTCAATTTTGGAAAGAAAGGACCTGAGCAAAATTATAAATGCTTTGAATAAAATATGATCTGTGAGAACAGACTTTCAGTATCTGACGAGTTTGGTATTGAAAAGCAATAAAATCATTGACACGTTCACAAAAAATGATTTGTACATAAAATACTATGTATAACTCAAAAACCAAATAAATGACGAAATCGAAAAACGAGCGTAGTCCATGAGCAATCTATGTATCTAAGTATCATCTGAGCTATCGTTTTAACCCTAAGTAACCATTTTATGTTATTATGAGGTTATAAAATCCATTTTTAAAAAGATGAAAAAAAACTTTTCTAAAAATTTCAAATAATTTTATGTGTTTGTGGCTTAGGAAAATAATAATCGCTCTTATGAATTCATATCTGTTTTTGTGCACCAAAACAAAAATATGTCGATGTAAATAAGCACCGCTATCAGCATATGTTATCTGTATTATTGTTTTTTTATTAATATTTTTTCTTGGAATATAAATCCATAAGTAAACTGTTTTGCACCGAAAAGATTCGTGGAAAACCAGCTTTCGAGGAAATTCGTGTGTTAATAAATTCCCTGCAAGGTTATTTATATTGAGATTTGGATTTAATTTTGTAATTGGTCTAGAAAAACAAAAACAAGTTTATAGCTTTTTTCCGAAATAGCGGAGCTAAGACAGGCGACCACGGTGGATGTGACATGGTTGAAAATTTGGCGTAAAACTCCCTAAGATTCATAGCAGTATGTATTATTGTGATGCAAAAGTTGTCGGCCCATAATTGCGGTCTCTTTTTATGAACTTCGCGCTAACTACACATAATACTCAAATAATATTCCTTGTTGACAATTTTTCCGCTCGGAAGGAATACGGGGTGCAAACCTCCTCGATAATTGAAGAAAACTATGAACGTAACCCTGACCTGCTTTGAAGTATATTTTCGGCTTCGGCTCACCTTTGCCACAGTATTCGGCCGATTGAACGTTTCGTCGGGTCGTAAGCTTCGATTCGAGACTCATCGCCAAAAACATTGTTTCGCAGACACAACACGAATGATTATTTTTATGTAACATTTGACACAGATCTCATGGAGGACGATGGAGTCATGTATAGAAGTTCACGCAAGTGAGGAAAGTTTTCTGATCGCCATTCACATGGGAGTGGCCAGAAAAGATTCTTTTACATATGACTCAAGCAGCTCACGACTTCCGTTCCTTGACCAAGTATCCTTTGGGTAGCCTAAGGACATCCGTTTGAAGGTGAGCTAAAGTGAGAAGGCGAAACATTCCCTGCATAGGGTTGTGCGCTGGGTTTGGGACCCGCCACGTACAAAAAAACACCCCAATGACAACGCAACAACAGCCTCGGATCTCATTGACAGTCATACTAAAGTAAAAAAAAAAAAAAATATGTCGACGAAGGGGGATTTGCGCGAAATTTAAATTAAAAAGTACTCTGACTTATTTCTTCAAAATGCAGGTAAAGTTCTTTTTTAATCGTTCCCAACAGGCATGGTATTCACTCTCACGTCATTCTTTTAGTTGCCGAAAATGTTCCTGTGATCAAGAAACCAAATGATGAACAAATGAAGTAGGCCAGTGTGCTCTAAGCCTTTCTGAAGTTTTTGACCACTCTGGAATTAGTCAGTGATGGACAGTAATGCGTCTTGGCTAACCGTGTATATGCTTACTTTCTGTACTGTTAAAAATCGAACTTCACAGATCTTCTCCGTTTACCTCTAGAGGGTAACCTCACCCAACAGTGATAATTGAAATCTAACTATTGGAGAACATAGTAGCAATCTCCTGATTTCTTCATTCTGATAGCATAATTTATCGTTATTTACCGAGTTATGGGTAGTTGATGCAGGAGTATATTAAGCGCCTAGGTCGGACTTGACTTAATAGCCCCGTTAAGCCCTGTACTGTACCTGTACCTGTATTCCATTTAATTTTTTATACATATACGTACCTTCGTGCATACATGGTTTAATCTTAATTAGCTTGCTTCTACCATTATTTTTAATTAAACAAATATATGTATATAAATATATCTATAATACTACAAAAACTCTTAAAAGATCATTAAATTGTAATCAGCAACCAATTATTTCAAATTACAACCGAAATACATATAGTGTGACACAAGAAATGTGTAATTGCCATTTACCATATGCGAACAGTAAATGTGTAATGCTCAACGCATACGCACCATAATTAAAATTTAAGAATATTTCCATATACACTCTATATGCACAGCAAACACGGTGATCAATATTACTCATACGCCATATAGGCCTTGTGCACACATATTTTCGCCGGCTAGTGAGCACTCGTGTTATCTTTGCATTAACGGTTTACTCGTGAAGTATGTGGAGTAATTTTCGGTCTCATTGCCATGCCTTTAATAGCGAAGCAGTTATTAAAAAACAAAGCACGTCAATATGTTTTATATATGGATGTATGTACATTATGACAAAAAAGTACGCTTAAAATGTAATTTAAATTTCCATGGAAAATGATATTTCAAAAAAATGTATGCTGCTAAGTTGGTGGGATAGACCTTAATTACTACGCAAAATATGAGCGCGATCCATCAACCAGTTTGTTTACAGCAGCTGTTTAAGTCGGTATACCTCAGTAGTGCCTCGCGATTTTTACAATGGATAAAAAAAAAACCTAACCACGAATTTATCTAAAGTTTTGTTTCTCTAACCAAATTCATGTGCGGATTCAATGTGAATATTGGAAAAACTTACGGTGATTCTGTTTTATCAAAAACATAAGCCTACGAGTAGTAGAAAGCTTTTAAAGGTGGTCGAGAGATCGTTGAAGGCATGCCTAGTTCTGGACGACCTTCGACTTCTTAAACTAAATAAAACCACTAAAAATATTAAGAAATTGAAAGGAAATCGTCAGGTAAGGGAGCCCAACATCTCTTGCGAGCTCGTTCGAATGATTTTGGTATGAAATGCATTCTTACCCGACTCGTACTGATAAAGTTGATTTTTATTTTTCAAAACGAGTACCATAAACGGGTCTCTTTAGACATACTTGGACTTGCGAATTACGATTCTACGTTCATGAAGAGCATTCTAATCGACGAGATATAGATTTATAAGTTTGACATACAAAAAAATCCACAATCATTGGAATGGAGGAAAAAAAACGAGCCGAAACGAATAAAATCACACCAAAGCCGCTCAAAAATCAATGTGATGCTCATTATTTTTCCGACATTCTTGGTTTGGTGCATCATGAAATTGTTCCGATGAGACAGACGGTCAATAAGGAGCTCCATTCGACCGTATTGAGGCGTTTGCGTGAGAACATCCGTCATAAATGGCCGGAATTGTGGAAGAACAATTCGCTCTTACACAATGATAATGCATCAACGCATCGAGAAACGATGAAATAGAAAAACGCAATGAATAGCATCGCTCAACCACCGTATTCACCAGACTTGGATTCGTGTGATTTTTTCTTGTTCCCCAAAGTGAAATCGGCGCTCTGTGTAACCTCTTTTCAGTCGATCGAAGAGATAAAACAAAATTCGCTGAAGGAGTTGAAGTTCATTCCAAAAAGTTCTTATCAAAAGCGTTTCGGGGACTGGAAAAATCATTAGCATAACTGTATTTTATCTGGTGGAGATTACTTTAAAGGTGACAAAATAAATATTGATGAATAATCAAATATTTTTACAATTTCCTTGTACTTTTTTGTCACAATGTATGTACATATTTTTTTATAAATAATTAATTTAAACGCCACAGCGTACTGCATCACAATTCGCCATTTTCTAGGATACAATTTAAAAATTTCAGCGTTGCTTTTTTCTCGCTGGCGCATTAATACACTTGAATTCACATGTGTAATTGAATTTTTCTGTATGTCTGTATGAGCATATGTGTAACGGTGTGTTTTCTCTTTTACGCCTGTTTCTTGCAGATAAATAAAAACTCGCAAGTGCCCTCGAAGAGCAGCAATGGTGAACGCAAGCGCTGGATTCACGATCCTACAAGTGAGTATGACAGTAACACATATGTGTATGTATATATGTATAAAATGTGTATTTAAATGCCACATAAATCTGCAAATAAATGTGTGCTGCTTGAAGCGTAAATTTTTTTTTTTTTTTTTTTTTTTGGGAGCTGTTGCAAACACACACACGCTCGCATGGACGTAAAGCCAGCAGGTGACCGCGATTTATTGCATACACCTTCACTTCATTCCCAAAGACATTAAATGTCGGGCGGCTGAGAGCGGAAGACTCGCTTGAAAAATGCAGCTGATCTGCAGCTGAGGCATTTAGGTGTGTATGTGTGGATATAAATATATAATATATATGCGATTTAAAAGCTCCATGGTGGATTAAAAGATGTTTAAGCGCTCTATTTGAGTGATGTGGACACATGTGTGTGATCTTCTGTGTATCTGCTTTTAATTAAATTAACACATGAGACTATACGTGACACTAAGAAAGTAAGAAATATTCTTCCTTTCACTTGTTATAACAATATATTTTTTTCCTCTCGATTGCCGCTGTTTCAATGGTTTATATGCTCTTGCCAGTTAGCACCTATTGGGGTGGGTGACTGCCTTGTAGGGCAAGTTCATCGCGCTTATCGCTTATTAGACAGCAGGACATAAATGGCATCACTAGACCTCTTCACTTCACAGAAACTTCAATTAAAATTGCCAAAGCTACTCTTTTATTGAATGTTTGTCACATTGTAAGTCTCATATTAATCGAGTTAAACTTATCTTACTTCCGGAAGTCAAAAATTATAACTCCCACTATTTCGGTTTGCTGGCCGTTGGAATCTTACAACTTACAAGACCTAAAGACTATCCCAAAACTCTAATTTGACAAATTTTTCGATGATTAGGAGAAATACTGGAATCAGTGCATAAAATCAATTTTGAAGGCGGCAACAGTAATGTATATAAATAAATAATTTTTTTTTTCGAAAACGAAAATTCGCGTTATTTTTTTAACACACTTCGTACACTTAAAGCTATATTCAAATTTGCTTAATTTTTAGCTGCCATTATCAAAATTATCCAAAAATTGGGGTTTGTTTACATTGTTTACAGTTTAAGGCAAACGATTTGTCTGTAACACAAAGATTTAGACTTAAAGCAATAAATAAGCAAACTAATTGCCAACAAGTTCGGTAAACCCTATATAGTTTCACTCTTTTCGATAATATTTTTGCACTACGCTTTTTCTTCGAAATAGGTTCCTTCCGGTGGAGATTTCTCAAAACTAACAAAACAGTAGAATATCGCTGGGCCTAGGTGAAATAGAGGCAATTATAAGCACTAGTCAGATTAGCAAACCTACATTCAGTATTGCCTGAACATTTGACTGTACACAAAAATATTTACGTTGGGTCCCACACAATTTGGCTTATGTCGATTAGTCAATCGAAATGTTAACAACATACTTGTACGATAGCAGTGCTTCAAAAAACATCTATGAATTATTTATTTTTTTACCCGGATTTACCCTCAAACACAAAACTGCTTCGACAATTTTATCAAATACAATAAATATCTTAATGGAGAGTATGTTAACAAACAAAATAAAGCGAATTTCAGTGATTAAAACTCTTTTTTATTCTCCAATCCTGAAATATAAAACGCATAAGCCTACTAGATAGGAATAACTTTCGAAAAGTTGTTTGAATGACACTTACGTTAAAGTACGATTTTGCTTTTTAAGCTGAAAAACACACATTTTCTGCTTAACCACTGAGTGATTTGCAAACAAAAAATAAAATATATTTTTCAGGGGCAAACTTTTTTTGGTTGATGCTTAGAACTTTGAAACCAAAGGAAACCATTTTCTTTATGAAGAAAAAACATCACCAACATCAAATATTTTCCCATTCTTCCAACCGCCTCTACACACAATTAGGTACTTAAAATAAAATAAATGTACCGAAACTTAGACAAAATACCTCAGCGTTCTCACAAAGAACAATAGAGAGAATCGAACAACCAAATTTATATTATTTATGGCCCATGATAGAAACTTTTACTAATGAAGGTTATATTCAGATTTGAAAATTGCTTTTATATATTAGAGCTATACACCTTAATTCATTTACTAAAGCGGGTTCCGATCGGGTTGCGATCGGACAACAGCAGGGTTATCTATTGAAAATTTGCAGCTGACAATGACAGATTGGAGTTACAACTATTTCATTGAAGAAAAAACTGTGCAATTAGACCATTTATACGAGTACATATAGCAAATATAGAACTTTATGCTAAACTTAAAAAATTAGCTCAAACTTGTATAGCGACTGTCAATGTTGCCAAATATTTCGTACAGCTTATAGTTCCATTGACTCGTAAAATTTGGTTTCTGTTCGTCATTTCGCTTGGTGTCTAACAACTCGGCGAAGTTCTTCCCGACAGAGCTTGCAGTGTTGCTTACACTAATAAGGTCCAATTAGTTTATTGATGGACTTTAATCTTCACACAATACGCTCGATAGAAACTTATATGCGATTTTGAGAAGGCGTATTCCACGGTAGTTGGCGCAGATTGTGGGGTTTTCCTTTTTGTGGATTGGGCAGAGCACACTCACATTTCAATCGTTAGGCATGCTTTCGTCCGGTCATATTATCTTATCAGTTCTTCGGCGCCGTATTTGAATAGCTCGCTCGGGAATCCATTGGCCATCGCCGCTTTGTTATTCTTCACGCGGATATTTGCTATTCGAACTTCTTCATAGTTGGGCAATGAAACGTGTGCTCCATCGTCTCGCTTTCCTCGTGAACTCTCGGTATCTACCTTACCCCGCACGTGCAGTGTTCGATTGTAATGTTGTGAGGTAGGCAGTGTGTTTTCTCTCCACTGTGACACGGCACTCTTCATCGTACCAGCATCTGTTTTGGCTTTGCTCTACTCCACAAACAGGCTCTTTCGTATTATAACTTAAAACTATTATATCGATCTAACTATATCTAACAACCAGAAAGACCCTATAAAATATATGTATTATATAAACAATCAACGTCACGAGTTAAGTTGATTTAGCCGTGTGTTATTTTTTTCAACCCAAATATCTGCTTATTCGTCAGAACCACTGCTGTCATATAAACTGACCGATCCAAAATTAAGGTCTTGTATGGAAAACTTTCTTATTTGAGGACATATAATCGAAATGAATGGATTATTGCCCAGAACAACAGTGCAATCTCCACAGTAACAAATTAGGTCCGACAATCAACCGAAGCTAACATTTTTTCTTACATAAGCTCAAATCAGTCTTAAAGTTCCACCTTTGCGCATTTGAGCCACCCTGTACTAAAAACCACAGCCAGCAGTGCTAGGCTAAGGGACTATTTGCTTTTAATTTGCAAGAGGCGGGAAAATGCAATTACTAAAGTTATTTGCCGTTAAAGTCAGAAACGGTCGTCCGGCTGGCTGGCAACCGTTACGCAGGTGATATGACTGCGAGATAATGTAATAAAAACCGCTCATTATAAGGAATTAACATCATTTGTACAGCTCTGCTGGAAATATAGCTTATGCCCACGCACACATTTATATTTATGTCTGTATGTATGCCTGTGTGTATTGCATAACTGCTTATTCACTGTTTGCAATTATTTAACCTTTTTGTTTGCATCTCACCCACTCGACAGGTGACCTCTGCCGGCCGTTAAATTGCAAGAAGCGTGAAATTTGTCTGCTGGAGGATGAGTACAGTGCTGTGTGTGTGTCGAAGCGTGACTTACACAAGAACCGGTAAGTAGTGTAGACTTACTTAAAAAAAGTTAAAAAAAAAAACTAAAAATATAATAATAAATAGAGATGTAGGTATAAAAATATATAAATTAAAAAAATAAAACTAAAAACGTATTGATGAAAGTTTGAAGAACTGGAAGGTCAGTAGTGAAACTTCTTTGGGTCGATTTCATGGCAGTGCTATAATCTTCGAGCAAATTTGTCAGATCGTATCACTATAGCATATAAAGAGTGATCCATTCCGAGGTTCCCTACATTTTTAAGGAAAAAAACAAAAATAACATGACAGCATGACACTCATGCGTGATTTGTTAAACAAAGGATAGGTATTGAATAAAGTACCTCTACTTGGATCACCTGTTAGCTGCCACATATGTTATAAAAAATGCACCTGTTAAGGCTATTATAGCTACGGTTCTGCCATTAAACTTGATTTTTACGAATTTGATTAAATCAAAATATTAATTAGTGGCGACCCTGGTCAAAAATATTAGCCAGGTAAACATTTCCTAACTGTTTTAATAAAATTTGAACCTTCTAAAATTTTCAACATTTAATTAATTTCTTTTAAATTGTTTTTTTTTCTTCATATGGCAACTCTACTTTTATTAAGTTTTCTGTAACATACGCTTAACCTTTTTAGTTCAAAAACCAATTATTGCGCGTTTTACGTTTTCAATTTTTGAAATTGAACAATTCGAGAAGGTGGCAACCTTTTTAAATTTCATTATTGTCCTCAGTTTTGGCTTGCTTTCGAATGTTTCGTTATGTGCACACATTTTTCAATACCAAATTGACACACAGATGACTGCTCCGTTATTATTTTGCTTTGAACTACAA